CCTCCTCCCTTGATTTTTGCCTTGTAATTTATTTGTTGAGGAAATGGCTTCATGTGTGTCCTGCAGTTTCCTGGTTTGGATTGTGCCAGTTGTACCTCTCTATTTTCTGTGAATTGTCAGGTCTAGAAACTTCATAAGGTTAAGGTTTAATTTGGGGTGGGGGGCAGTTACTTAAGTGGTGGTATCTTCTGTCGGAGGGCACATCATACCTGCTTTTCTTTTGATATTAAGCAGTCATTAGATGCTCAAAGCCTAGATCTAAGCGGGAACCTACTTAATGTCTAGATTTATTAACTCTGTTTTTCTTACCATACCATGTGCTTTGATGTCTGAATAATTACGTCCATGCTGCTTTTACCTGAGCTTTCCTTTCCACCCTTTTCCATATTCAAGGTCCAGCTCAAACCATATGATTGTTCATTTGTTTTGTTTTTTTTGATCTTGGCTTTAGACTTTTGATTCAGTGATTCAGGGATTTGATTCCATATTCAGTATATTTTGATATATGGTTTTTATTTTGATACTTAGTAGCTAAAATGCTACCTCTCAAAAACAAGTAGATTTAAATGGAAGAAGTACACTGTTGGGGACCTTAACAGTTTTAATCCCAACTACTGTTTTTAGAGCTAGTCTCCTGTTCAAAATGTTTGGTTTTTCAATGTTTTGCTAATCAAATAACCTCACCCCTCATATTACCTACTACTTTAGCACAGTATGGGTCTAGTGTGAGGTTTATCATTAATAAGAGTGAATGTAAACCTTTATCTTATTTTATTTGGTCTTCTAATGTGTTTCAGTTTTTTTGGTTGACCCATCACATCTGATTATATGGCTGTGGTTTTACTTCATAATGTAACTGATCAAGTTTATGCATTAAGAGTTAGATATTTGCATTGCTGTTTTGGGGGGTTTTGTCACTGTCTGCATCTTCATTATTGGTGTTCTCTTCATTCTGCCAGTTCCTTGCAGGAATGACATCTACTGGGAATAAATGTTTACTAATATATAACATGGATTAGCACCATACCCTCATTTGGTCTATGTGTCAGATGTACACCCGTCACCCAGGGCACCCATGTCGTGCCTCCTTTACATTCTTGACCTCTCGTTAAATCGAGGGTGGTTACTAGTTCACTCATGAGCTCTCATATATCACAGTGGGTCACAGTATGCTGACTGTGCTGAGAGGGAACAACCACATGTCTATTGGATTTCGTTCTGGAACTATCCCACCCCACACTTCCCACAGGATTTTGTGGGTGCTTTGTGTAGCACGTGAACTCCTGACATTTGGACAAAGTGGGGCTACAAGTGCCAGTCCACATATTAATGTGCTAGTACACATGTATTTTGTAATTATCACTTATCCTAAAAAAAAAAAAGGACAGGATAAATGATGATAATCCCTATGTTGGAAAATATACATGTATGGATTCTGTGACCCCACTTTGGGGATTTTGCTCTCTACGGTGAAGATAGGGACTATGTAAAATTCATCCTTGCCTTCTTGGCACTTAGCACGTGCCTGACACATATTAGGTTACTATTGAGAATTTGTTGAATGAGATGCTGACAACATTGTTCTGACCCAGAGAGGACTTTTATTAAAAAGTAGTGAGATAAATATTTGGATGGATATAAAGAACTAGATATATTGAAAAGGTAAGCATTAAAGAGGCTATTGAAAAATAAAAATAAGATATATTCATGGGGAAAATCTGTAATACAGTGATAGATATTATGGGAGCAAATAGAAGTTTGTAGATAATTCACATTAATGTGTGAATCATGTGATGACATCACTGAAGTTTTGGTGAAGGGAATGAAAAAATGAAACAATGTTTCAATTAATTGTTAGGACCTAGTGTTTGAATGTAAGTGTGAAAAGTGCAGATTTCTATACCCACCCATTTTAAGTGGTTTTAGCAAATAGCTCTATTTTACTGTATAGAGTAGAATTTTTTTTTCAAATCTTGTGAGATGTGAATTAGGTGAATACATGTTTGAAAGCTTTCACATATTTTTTATTCATATGTATCAGTAATAAAGACAAACTTAAATTCAGTTTAGTAGTTATATGTATATTTTTTCAAAAAGTAATGAAATTTCTTCTATCTATATTGTTTCTTTTGGTATGATGTGTTAACAGATTTTTGAACGTTTTTATGTATTTAACATAGTCCATTTACCTATATAGAATATCCAATTGGTAAATGGATTCATACCCAGCTTTTCTTTCAATTGCACTTTTCAGCACTTGCTAGACTGTTCTGATACTAAGAAGAGGTATACAAAAAAGAAAAGATAAATATGAATAAAGAATGAATGGAACCCGGTGAAATAAGTATGCCCGATTAAGATAGAAGGAAGAGTTATGGTCAACATGCAGTCAACTCTGTTACAGAGTCCTAGAGCTAGGAATTATAAGGCTAATGGAACAGAAGTAGATAAGTAGACCGTAACTTAAATGTTTAAAAATAGTGTCTATTTGGACTTGAGAATTACTTAAGAATATGAAAAATAGTGTATAGAGTTGGGAATTACTTTAGGGTATGAAAAGTATGTGATTATGTTTTATTACAAGCACTATCAAATTTAATATCTTTGCTAAGATTAACTGAAAGGTTTTCTTGGAGGTGTGCAGTTTGATGAAGAATGTATAATGACCTGTACATTGAAAATCTTACATTCAAAGAGTAACCTGAGTTTTTCAAAAATAATTTTGGAAGTATTACTATACCTATGGTATTAACTTTGTCCTTACCATCAAGATAACCCTCAAATTTGAATTCAGTACTCTTGGGCAAAAATGATAGGGCTGCTTTTTATCCTTTAGCAAAATCAAGATTTCCTTTAAAGGAAAACCTTTAGAATAATTAGTGTGGCATAAGTAGCATATTTGACATGTTGGGATTTTTTATTTGTGCCACTGACAATGTATATGGCCTTGGTCACATAACCTCAGGCACGTAACCTTAATAGGTTTCAAATGACCTATTGTTAAAGACTGAATACAAAGCTATAATTTATACAGTGGGAAAAGTGATAGTGTAGAGTAGAAATTATTCCTAGGTCATTCCAAATCTTTAAACATTTACAAGAGCAGAATAATATTTGACTGGCTTGGATTTCAGAGCTTTCCTCGTATAGCACATATTCAAATGGAGATAGTGGGGATTAGAGAAATGAGCAGTAATAGGAAGATAAACTAGGCATGTATTAGCAAATAAGGGTAAGATCCCGAATGAGTAAGCTGGTTATATTGCTTAAAATAATTGTATTATCTAAGGACATCCGGGTGGCTCAGTTGGTTAAGTGTCCTACTCTGATCTCAACTCAGGTCTTGGTCTCAGGGTCATGAGTTCAAGCCCCGCATTGGGCTCTCCTCCATGGAGCCTATTTAAAAAAAAAAAAAAAAGTATCTTACTATTTTTAGATTCTAACCAGTGTTTGAAAGGTTGCTGAAATGGGTTACTTATACTGGCGTAAGGTTCTTAGTGTAGAATGAGACTAATAAAATGACTCATTAATAAACAGGATTGATAGTTTGCTAAGGAAATTTTTATAATTGAGAAAAAAGTAAAACATTTTTTAAGCAATCTAAAACACCATGCAACTCACATTTTAATAGAAACAGAAACAGAGTTGGAAAATACTTCTAAATATATATTTATATAGAAATACAATGGTAAGTTGGTGAAACATATTTCAAAACTGATAGTGCTTTAATTTCCTTTAAATTTGCCATGTCTGGTTCCAGCGGTCATTGCAGTTATTTAGAAGTTTATGTGAATGTCCATTTAAGTGAAAGCTAAGAGTTCTTCGTTTCCAAGTGGGGGCCCAAAAGGAGAGTCTACATTAGGTATTGCAAAAACCATTTTCTCCCAACAAGGGCATAATGGTGAGGGCTTCTAGCCTACCCCAGCTAGCTTTATTTTACTCTCTGTTCTGTACTAGTTGTTGATTGAATGAGCTTGGGCAGAATATTTAACTTTAGAACTGCAGTATTTTCATTTTTACAATATTAAACATCTTATTCGTTAGAAAATAAAATTGTGTATATTGATGGTACTTGGTTGTTACTCAAAAAGTTTAATGTCGCTGAAATTATCAAAATACTTACACATAAGGATTTATTGTACTGTCATATCCAAATATTTATACTTGAAAATACATAGATACAATAGTTTTAGGTAAATTCCCTTATTTGAATGTTCATAAAGTAGAGTGACTTAATCTTTCAGGATCGTATGAAGTGATAATTGCTAAATATGTTTTTAAAATCCTTAACAAAATTTATGGTGCAGGCTGGGAAAGAGAAATTGGTATTTAGAAATTATGTAGTGTGTTTACAGCCAAGGGATAGGGATGATTTTCCATTTAATTTTGTAGTAAAGACACTATCTTCAGTGTACTTCGTATTAAATGTTCATGAATTAAGGGAAATTATCTGCAACAAGTGCTGTTTTTATAATACCTCTATTTAAAAACATATACAGTGTCATTTTTGACTGTATTTATTAGATCTGGGGTATTTTTTATGTCTTTGGTTTGCCCCTTCTTGAAACCCTTTGGTCTCCTTAATAGAATTTCTTTTATATCTTACTAGTATAAAAATGGTAAATGTATTTATTGTTGGTTAACTCAAAGAATAATGAAAAAAATTGTTTTATCTTTTAGAGTAAGAATTTAAAATAGTTTTCATCCTTTTCTCCTCCAGACATTCTTTGCCCATAGAAAATAGATTCACTTGTTGCTATCTGACTGGGAATATTATTTTCATAACTTGAAAAAAAGCAAAGGTGAAGTGCTAAGGTGACATTTTGGCAAGGAAGAAGGGTCTTAGCATAATCCTACAAAAAGTAATGAATCCAATTAGGGGTTCTCTAAGCTTGCTGTTGGGTAACATGCTCAGTCTTTGAACATTTTAGAAATTAGGGTATGCAAATTTAAGAACTTTTTAAAATTGTTTGAAAGGCCTAATTTTTGTTGCTTTACAGATGTCCCATTTAAGCAGACCTCTTCCGTAGCCGTAGCTGGAGCTGTAATCGGAGCTGTTCTTGCTCTCTTCATCATTGCTGTCTTTGTGATTGTCCTGCTGACTCCTCGAAAAAAGAGACCATCCTATCTTGACAAAGTGTAAGTAACTTTTTTGCTCATGTTCAACATTCAGTATGAGTCAGTCTTTATCTTTACAGCTACTTGTGTAAAATGTCTGAGGGATGGGAGTAAAGACACAGATCTTTGTGAGATGACCATGGTTGCATCAGAATGTACTGTTTTGGTAAATAGTGTCAAGGAGCCATTGGAGACAAATATATTAGACACCTTTTTCACCTACAAATACACTGGACATCTTTCCAGATGATAACGTAATGACACTTTATTTTGTCCTGCCTTGTGAATAAAAATGCAGGGCTTTGATGGAGTGTGGTTGAAAGAGAGATTCAAAATAGCTTAGAAGTTTAATGGCTTCTCCAGATTGTATATGCCAGTCTTATGTCTAGATAGATCTTATTAATGTTCAACTGCCAAGAATTATCAAATAGAGTTTTAAAGCTTTTTTCCTTAAACAATTTTGGTTTTGGTGAGTTACAAAATGTGCAACTTTTTTATTTAAAGAGAAAGCAGTATTTTGGGCCTAGTCATTGAGCCAGAATGTTAAAGTATAAATTGCACTTCGCTGTAGAATCAAAACACCAATGTCCCAATTCACTGAATTCCATCAACAGCTTTGTTGCTTCATCTGTGAAATGTGAATAATATTTTTCCTATTTACCTTCCATGGTTGTGATGAGTAGAATAAGATGTTGCTTATGAACTGTGGCGTTTTATACAAATGGCATTATTTCTTATGTAGTTACTAATATTTTTATATTAGGACATGAGGCTGTCTCTCAAAGAATGTATTTCTTCTGTCTTCATAAATGCCTTGTATATGTCTCTGCCTTTCTAATCTGGCACAGGTATAGCATAGATCTTCTTAGATTAAAGACAACTGAGTGTTAGTCTCAGCTCTATCATGATCAAAGTAGTGGTGTGATCCTGAACAAGTCACATCACCTCCATGGGCCTCAGTTTTCTCACCCAAATGACTGATGGCACCTTGGAGCTATAAATTTGCTGTGATTTTCATTAGATGAAAGGAAATAATTACCTTTAAATAAGAACTGCAAAGTACCTTTTCAATGCAACACCTGTAACACTGATTCTTTAATGTTTATAGTTAAAATATTTATATGTAGCAATAATCTGTATAGTTCTTTACTATTTCAGGAGTAGCATGCGGTTAACTTCATTTTAGTTTCCAAGTTATCTCAGGCTTTTCTATAATTTCAAAAACATAATTTACTAGTAGGCTAAATAATTACATCCATGTAACCATTTTATTTGTTATTTGAATTCTATTCATTTAAAATTATTATTTCATGCCCACATTGAAAAGTTATTAGGCCACAGAGAATTTGTAATTACTTTGGCCTTTATAGATTTCATTCTTTTTATTTTTTAATATAGGTAACATTTTTGTTTGATTTAGTCATCACATGTATTGAAAATTAGTTATCTTTGAACTTCAAAAGTATGAGAATATATAAAAAAATTGTTCTCTAAAATTCAGAGCCACCAGATATACTTTATTTTTATTATAACAACAGTACTTAAATACATGAAAATATAAGTTTTTTAAAAGTTTATTAGGTTATTTTGGCAAAAATAAATGTATTCCCTGAGGATGTAATAGCCTCTTTATTTCATGTGACAAGATTTATAATGGTCTTTAGATTGAAAAATCTTAATTTGCATGATGGATATTCTAAGAGTAACCATGGGTTTTGAAAATTAGTTTGGAAGTATTTCCAAAAAGCAGTATAATTTTTTTTCATTATCATTTTAAGATACAGTTTTTTAAATTACTTTTATGACACGTTGCCTTCCATTGCACACGTTTGATTATCTTTAAAATGATGGTAGGCATAGTCAGATGGAAAAATGTGCAATACTGAAGTAAATTGGTTATGTACTAGGTTACTTAATAATTTTCAGAAAAATGCTTCCATTTGAGTTACTTCTTTAAATGAATCAATTAGATAGGTTTTAAACATTGGAAGTTTAAAACCAGGGTGTTTTTTTTTTTCCCCATCTGTGATAGGTTAATGGAAATATAAGAACTGAATTAAGTGTGTACACTAATATAAATATTAGTGTGAGGTTCTCAAAACTTAAGAGAACCTTGTTTCCCCCTTTTTCTTTCTTTTCTTTCTTTCTTTTTTTTCTTGCTAAATGTTGCAATCACATTTATTAACATTTTTAATGCAGGATCGACCTTCCACCCACACATAAACCACCTCCCATGTATGAAGAACGATCCCCACCCTTGCCTCAAAAAGATCTATATCAGGTATGTGTTCATGGTTATACTTAAAATAAAATGAAATAAAAAATAGTAAGCAGTGTATTTTATTTGAGTATTATCTAGTCATTATACATTAAATGTTGCATAATAACACATAATCATTTCTCTGAAACACTTAAAGGATCAAACTTTGTCGACAAATTGGTAAGAAAAGATGTGATAGCCAGTGTGGATGGAACAAAATAACACTGTATTAAGAGTAGAGATTTTTACTAAAAGTTTATGGCCAAAGACTTACTGTTAATATAGTTTTATTGACATATAGACTCATTGTAAAATATGCATTTTTATATAAAATAAAAGAAAAATTGAATGCCTTTGGTAGGGTGTGTTTCTTTTCAGTATACTCAGGGTCTAAATTTTAGCATTCTTTATGTAGCAGCAAAAGGTTTATATTCCAGTTTAAAATTCTGGGTACGAATATTGGTCCTCATATTACATTTATGATAACTTTTAAATTTTCTTTTGGAATTAGTTTGTAATAATTCATGTGAAGGTATCGATTAAATGCTCCTATCTCATGTTCTATACCTAGATTAATATGCTCTCTTAGGGAAAGTTGAAACCATCAGAATATTTGAATACTTTTACTCTTAGCATTAGTAGTTTCGTTTTTTTTCCCTCTCATATCCATGTAACCTTTTGGGGCTCTGACCCTATATTGGGTTTTCTTGTTTGTTTGTTTTTACCTGTGGGAATATTCTATGGTATTTTCCTCCAGAGATATGTTTCGTATCTTCAGCTCAAATAAGGCAAATTATTTGCCCACCAGTTAATTTAATTTGGTGGGAAAACTCCAAGGGAATATATGTGTTAAGATGTTGTTAGCTTCTGTATCTTAGTTGACCAGATAGTCTCCTGCCTGAGAATGGGGCGGGGAGGAACATTCGTTCCCTGGCTTTCGCAGTCATTGCCAGGGGTCACCTGCTCTGTTGTCTTAACAGAAGCTGGTGTCTGAGGGGTGAGACATGCCATCTTTTCAGACCCCTTGTTTTCACAGAAAGAGTGTAGCCTCACATCTCTCTTGGCAAATAAATGAACTTGACAAGTAGTGTGGAATGTCAACAAAATATTTAGCTAGAGCTGTTGTTAACTGCTGCAGAAAGAAAGCTGTCTTCCTCCCTCCACAAAGCTAGTAATTAATCAGAGGATTTCTAGGTTTAGTTTTGGGCATTCTCTTAGAATGTTGTTGGTAATTTTCTAGGACGACCCTAACTGTGTATAATTTCATTCCTGTCTGTAAAACCAACTGACTATATAACTTACTATTTAATATCTTCAAATTAAATATTTATAAAAGCTTATGAATCAGGGGGAAATTATTTGGTTTTGATCATCATCTGTCCTTGGTTTTAGTTTAAAAAATATGATTGCTATATATGTATTTAGCTACCAAATAAACACAAAAGGAAGATTTTTCTTGGATGATTTGAGTTGACAGTGTTAGAAACTACAATTTTTAGAATCCTTAGAGTTAGGGAAGGCTTCCTGGCTTTTGGAGGTAGGAGTTATGATGCATGTGATGCAATTACTCAGTTGTTGATTAGAGTAATTTGATTTATAGTAAATTGCATACTCAAAAGCATAAACCTGGGTAGAAATAAGAGCCATATGGAAAAGTAATGAAAAGTTTAGAAAGAAAATTGGTGGGAGAGCACCTGCAATGAGTAACAAACATTAGACTTGGAAATCAGAGACCATTTAGTAACATTGTGACTTTTTCCTCATCTTGAAATTAGGCAGGTGAAAAATGTGATTGTTTGTTTTTCTCTTCTAGCTATAAAACTGGTTTTATAAAATATTGCTGAGGGTTAGCTATTTGCTGTCATTTTGCTTAAGAGAGTCAGAACTTGAGTTGGAGATGAAATAATTCCTAATTTTATAAAGCTTTTAAGAATAAATTAGGCTAGGGGTGCCTAGGTGGCTCAGTCATTTAAGTGCCTGACTCTTGATTTAGGCTCAGGTTATGATCTTAGGGTCATGATCTCAGGATCGTGAGATCAAACCCTGCTTCAGGCTCTGCCCTGGGCTTGGAGCCTGCTTAAAAATCTCTCTCTCCCTCCCCTGCGCCCCCAACGGCTCCCATGGGCGCACTTGCGCATGAGCGCACTTGCGCACGCAATCTCCCTCAAAAAAAAAAAAAAAGAATAGGCTAAAATCATTATCCATCAGTGAGATAATTTGTTATGATTCATGCATTATAATGTCATGTGTTAATTATGTGGCTGTTTGTGTTTTAATTAATGTTGTGATCTCAAAATGTAAAATACACAGAACTGTGTCTCGGTTACCAAGAAATATGTGTGTCACTACTATCCGATTAGGTTTGTGCAGTGATAGCATGTTGTAATACTAAATGCCTTTGTAATGTTCCACTTCACTAGGTAACTTGTCACCTTTAAAGTGATGTGGTAATTCCTGCTTGAAGTCATTAGCCCTCAGCCTTCTAGATAACTAGGTCACAAGGCCATGCTCCCAAATGCCTACATGGCTTTAAGGAACAGAGTCCCACTTGTTCTACCCATCAGTGTTCTACCCTTGGGAAGCCACAGAAGGAAGCACTTCCTCACTACCCACATTTGTCCACCTTGTATGATTATTGCTTTTTGTGGTAATGGTGCCAACACTCATCCCTGAGAAGTTTTCTTCTCAGTGTAAATTAGGAGAATGAGGCCTGGTACTGTGAGGAGGCAGTTTGCTTGAATGGGAGCTATTACCATACTGCAGAGAAGATGCATGGAGGCATGCATATAAGTGTGAGGGAAATAAAAAGGAATGTCTTGCCTGAAGGCAAAGGTTAATTAAGAAATACCACCAGCTTGTCCTGTATTAGGTAATCTACGAAAGTTGAGTCTTCATTTAGGAAACAAATATTAACTTAATGACATTAAAGTATATTTTACCTTTTTGTTACGTTGATTAACATTATATAGGTAATCCGTAAGTATATTTTTGGAACAACAAAAAAAAATCAGAAACTACAGAAATTTATAGTCAACTGTGAAAGCCCTTTTTCATTGCTCCATCACCAAATACATAATTTCCTTCTCCAGCAATCACCACTGTTATGAATTTAAATATTCTCCCACACTTTTTTCCATGAATTTACGTTCATGTGTATATCATCCATATTTACATCTGCAAATATTTTTTTAACACAAATGTGATCATAGAATACATATTGTTCTAGAAATTGCTTTCCCACTCTTATAGACCAGTATTTTTCAGACTGGCCAATGTTGCTTACAGTTTAGTGGGTTTCTTTATCTCATTCAGCTTCAAATCCAGTACAAAATACTGAACACTGATATAAAATTTCTTTGTATTACAATTTTGGGCAACAATTTCCATTTTATGAATAATGCTGTATTTTAGCCTTGTATTGGGAGAGTTGTATACTCTGATGTGAAAAAATATTTCCCAAATCAACAATCATTTTCAGGAAAAATATACATAACAAATAGAGTTTGATGTCTGATATGGAAAAAATCTGGATATAAATGTAGATCTTTTAGAATACTCTGGTTCAGTCTAAAATAGCATTTATTTAACTTGGAAAGTCAGGGCTAGTAGATTCCATGAAGTAGATACCGTTACTTGACTTTACTGAGGATCATAGCAGGAATTTCAGTCAAGCAGTAATACTGTAGGGAGTGTGGCTCTTCAAGTTATTTGCACAATGCTGACATATTATTAAAAGCTTTCTAATCTCTTGAAATATCATGAGATTTTTTTCCTCCTTGGTAATCACATACGCAGAAGTAACCATATGTCAGTGGATTTTTGGTAACTTAAAAAGTTTTTAGCAACCTGGAAAATGTTTTATGAACAGTATTTCAGGTGTTGGAATACACAGATCAGTTTTCAAGATTTCAAACACTTGGTTTGTATATGTAAATATATGTGTGTGTATTAATATTCTGTGTGATTAGATGGGATATATGCATAAAGTGCTTGTGTGCTTGAATTCCAAGCTGAAATTAGGTGCCTTTTTGTGGAACACCATTTTTACTTAAAAGAATGACTAACAAACTGTGCCATTCAGGCTTGAATAATTTGCAGACATTTTCTCACAAATCAATGAACTGAACCTGTCACTCAAGGCAAATAACTGACAGTGTTTGTTGCCAATGAAAAAAACTTGAGGTTCCACGTAAAAATTATAATTTCTGTAAAACCTGTATCTACAATCATGGGATTGACATTGGTGGGGAAAATAGTAAATATTTTTTTTATATTGAATAACGAAAAGTACCAATGTTTGGAATAATCAAGCTTGCTTCTTTTGACTCGGATATTAAAAGGATTTGCAGGGCGCCTGGGTGGCTCAGTCATTAAGCGTCTGCCTTCGACTCAGGTCATGATCCCAGGGTCCTGGGATCGAGTCCCACATTGGGCTCCCTGCTCGGCAGGAAGCCTGCTTCTCCCTCTCCCACTCCCACTCCCCCTGCTTGTGTTCCTGCTCTCACTGTCTCTCTCTCTCTGTCAAATAAATAAATAAAATCTTTAAAAAATAAATAAATAAATAAATAAAAGGATTTGCAAAAATGTAAAAAAATAATAAAATGCCACTCTTCTCGCTAATCCTTATTTTGGAAAACATGGTTATTTTTTCATGTAAAAGATGATTTTTGTATCATATTATCCTGTTTATATGAATTAAATATTTTAAAAGTCTCTTAGTTTTAATGTTTAATATGATAAATATAGATAGCTAAGGTAGCTACTACCCATGTAAATGAAAGTACTTTGGGTTCTCAAAATTTTAAAGTATAAAGGGATCCTGATACCCCATTTCTGAGAACCTCTGCTGTAGACCTTAAATGCTATGAAGGCAAGGATCATGTCTCCCTTGCTTAGTACTGTAGTCTCAGTGCACAACACTTTGCTTGGCACACTGTAGTTACCTTACAAAAAATTTTTGAATGCAAAAGTGAAAAAAAGAGTCAGACCCCTCTTTATATTCTTTTCAGTATGTGATCATG